AACATAAACTATTCTTTTCTTTTTTAATTTGTAATTTTACCGTGTAAATTGTAATTTAAACTTTTAAATTATCAGCAAAACTATAGTGAAAATTACAAGCAAAATTTAGGAAAAATTATCTGTAAAACACTCAACATAATCAGCAAATATACAGGAAATATAATCAGGTAAAAGCGTACGTAAAACAAATAAATATCAGCAAGAAATGTAGACAAAAAATAAGGTAAAGAAGAAAAAATTGAATTATATATTTTAGTAAGAAAGATGATTCTAATACAGTAGAGCTTCGCTTATCCGAATCAATTGGGGACTGGGATTGTTCGGATAACTTATTTTTCGGATAACCGATTATGTGCTTAAAAATATATTAACCTATCCCGTGTTGAAATTTTTCTCCGTTGCGTGTCGCTTCGCGTTGAATTTTCGTCGATGTTAAGCCTAACGTAAACTTTTTAAAATAATAATCGTGACTATTGTATCGTTAAAAATGATTTCTTTATGTTTTACAAACGAAATAAATACATTGAAAAATATAAAAACAAATAAAAATTATACTTTAGGCCGACTGGAATTCTTTCGGATAACCGACGTTCGGATAAACGACGCTCTACTGTATTCTCGAAAGATTTATATGTCAAAAAAATATTCTTTAAACTATTAATTCTAAGCAATTAAATTCTATTCAAAAATAAATTTAACTATAAATTTTGTAATTTATATCCTCCTTTTTAAAGAAAATATTAAATAGTATTGTGAATGAATTGATTTTTAATCTTATAAAGATGAAGTTTTTTTAAAAATTTAATTATTTAATTCACATTTTCTAAAATTAATTTGTTACCTTTATGTTATTAGCGTTGTTTTTAACAAAATTAATTACATTAACATTTCTAAAAAAACTTAACCAACTACATTTTAGGTAATAAATATTTTACAAGAAAGTAAATGTAATTCGAACGGCCACCTGTAACCGACGGCCATTTTTGTATTCTTGTCAGTGATCGTTGTTCAGAAGTTCGACTACAAATATATTTATTTAATTATATTTATTGCTTTTTATATAATAAACTATAAAAACTGATTAGTTTTATAATAATTTTGCATAATTAATAAGTTAAAAGTAAAACTATATTATATTAATATAATTAAAAATGGCTAATTAAACAATAATTTTTCAAGTGTTTTTTTAAACTATATTTTAGTTAAATTTTATAATAATTTCTAGTTAAATGTTTAAAGTAACTTTTCATATAGTTTTAATCATTATATATAACCTATACTATATTTATTTTAGTTAAAAAAAAAAATTAATACACTTTCAATGTCATTCCTACTCTCATTTGAATATCATTGACCTAGATATTAATATTCAATCATTGTTTGTGATATTTCTGTTTACACACACACACACACACACACATACATACATACAAGGTGGCCCAAAAATCAGTTAACCGTTATAATAACTAAACTACCGCCTAGTAAAAAATGCTTACAAAAACTGTTTAATATAAAAAGTCACAAAACGATTTAGTAAACTCAAAAATTGCTGAATTACCTGTAAATAATGCGGTTAACTGACTTTTCAACCACTCTTTACGTAACTACACGTGTACGTTTATGTATAAACCATACAGGAATTTATATTTTTTCATTGAGAAATTACTAATTTTACTTTCTTTCGCAATTTGTTACGGTTCCAAAAAGACTATTTTAGTAACTATAAAGTCGTCTCTTAAGGTCATTGATCTCTCGAAGTTTTCTGTTGAAAAAAAAAAAAAAAAACCTAATATTTTATCTCTTCTTTTTAAAGTCAACTTCAACATTTGTTCTATTGTGAAGTGTTCAATATTTTTTCGAACTTTACGAGTCGTGAGACTGTAAAATTTTTTAGAAAGAAGTAAAGGGTTTGACTTTACTTCGATTGAATGCTTTCTCCAATATTCAATTTTAAAACTTAGAAAAATTTTTAATGAAATTTTCAAAGTCTCTGGTTGAATAACTTAATTAACTTTTCGTAATTTTAAATATGTAAATCGTGGTAAATTGATAAAATCAACAAGAAAAAAAGTAACACAATACAGTAAACTTCCTCTAAAATTCATTAATCTTACTGTTTTATATTTAAGTAAACAGGATATCTTAATTTTTATAAGCGTATAATATTGTTAAATATTACAAAATTTCAGCATGACGTAAAGAATTCCTGCTGTGATCTTGTATTTATGTACTGTAATATATATTATATATACCTGTATATATATATACAACGTCACATTAACAATAGGTAGTGGTACATCTCCACTTCAAAAATATCTCATATATTTGTGTACATCCTCAGCATCATCATCATCATCATCTAAGCATATTATCGAGGCCTGTTGTAGTAATCGCAGGAAATTTTTTACATAAGTAAGTATTAATAAATAAGTACAAATCTACTGTATTTTTTATTTATTTGATGGATATTTTCATAATTGAATTTCTGTAAGTTAATTCTTACACAACAATGCACACAATCAGTCCACTTTTCAATGTAAGTAAACATGTAATTTGCAATTAATTCAATACTTATAGAATTAAAATTGATCTTTCAAAAATACATTTTATCTCAGCATGACCTGCAGGAAATTAATATATATTTTTTCTTATATAATTTGATATTTTGTAACCCGTATGGAAGATAGATGTAGGCTTATATAAACAGTAAAATTAAATTTTTGCACATTTTTTCTTAACTTTATGATAAATTTAGCTCCTAAAGAACCTGCAAAAATGCACGTAAAACTGGAATATTTGAAGTCATAACTCCCCTGTTGAACAGTTTTATGATCTAAAAAATTAAACAGGATATCATGTACTAAACCCTTGCATAATATATTAAGAAATTTAGCAAAAATTATAGAAAATCAGCTTACTAATTTAAAATAACCAATTGTGCAATTTACTTTTATGCATGATAAATACTTTTAACATGTCTACAGCCAGAATTAACTTTTATAACATAAAATCTCAACCTTTAAATATAATAATAAATTAAATGTTTTGTGCTAATTAACTATAACAACTCATGTTTTAAAAATTCAATTATTTAAAAACATTATTAAAAACTACACTGATTAGCTATTAAATTGTTAATTTATTGTTTAAATTAATTTTTAAAAAATGAAGAATTTAAACTTTAAATTTATATTTTTATTAAGTAAATAGGTAAAAATCTGTAGTTAGATGCTTGTGCATAAAGTAGAAAATTAATTTATAGAAATTAAAATTGAAAAATGTTGATTTTACAACCCACTTTTGTATGATTTATTGATGTAAAGTTAATTATTTTTCATTTTTTATACATTATTTTACACAGTAAAGATATTTAAAAATAGTTTCAAGCAAATAAAAAATGAAGTATGTTTATATTATCCATATTTGTATATGTATGTATAACTAAATATCATACACTCAAACATTATTTTTAGAAAAAGTCTTTCTTAAAGATTAAATCTTTCTACTTCAATTAAGCTACTCTTAAAATAGATATTTCTCATGTTCTTTAGATGTTTTTATACATATTTTACTTCCAATTTTATGTTTACAGGAAGGATAACAATCAAGCACAGTCCCTAGTGAACATGGTTGAGATAATATTTGCTATATCATTAGTTTTTGCTGCATTTTTTATGGCCATGATCGTTATGGTAATTTGTAAGTTGTTAAACAACAGAAAGGATGAGACTGAATTAACAACAGCATAATTCTTATGCAAGAAAAAACAATTATTATAACTGCACAATATATTTATTTATATAAAAGGGAACACTATTTCATATAATTTAATTATTTTCATTTACATAAATTGTAAACAAACAGTATATTAAGAATAAATTAAGTTCTCTTTCATATTTAAATATTTTTAATTAGTCATTGAATTGATGATTTATATGAGAGGAAGTTTTATCTTTTAATGAAAAATTTTATGCTTTTACGCCTTAATTTACGTTTATTAATATGTATTCTTTTTAATATTAGAGAAAAACTGATATTTTAGGTTAGAAAATTAATCAAAGAAGATGTTTTAAGACAATTATGATGAAAATGTTTGCTTGTTAAAGGAGGTTAATTTTTTTTTTAATTTCTAAAACTTTTATACAATATTAAGCTTGAAATTAAGTCAGATATATTTATAATTTAATGTTAATTATAGGAACATTTTAAATTTAAATTCAGTAAACAAAATAAATTATCATTTAATTGATTTCACCAACATCAAGGCATCAGGAAGAGCGTCACTTCCTTTACTAAATCATCGATTCAACAATATTACACATACAAAATAAGATAAATTAATAATTCTCACAATAAAAATTAACCATTTTTCTACGTGACAACATCTGATTACATAAATAATTACAATTAAAACGTTAACAAACTATTCATAAACTACATTAAATCTCATTTTTATGAAATAAATATAAAATATTCTGAGTGGAAATTTTACTACATTATTATTATTATTATTATTATTATTATTATTATTAATACTATTTTCTATTTTTAAGTAATAAGTTAAAAACATTCTACTGCAAAAATTCTACTTTACAAGTATTAACTAAAACATAAAAATATTAATTAATTATAATTAATTGTAGATCACAGTATGCAAAACCAACAACAAAAGACGAGGTAGAGTAAATTGAGTTGACAAAATTTCACGGAAAAAAAAAAAATTAATAAAATTAATAAATATGTCGAGATCGTCACGCAAAAGTTAACTTTTTAATTTAGGGTCGTGAACATTAATTATGTAAACTTGATTGTCTTTTTTGTTAACAGGAGTTGGAGCAAATTTCTTTTTTAGTTTCTCAACATTGTCTTCGGCGAATGCACAACAACATGATATAAAGAAAAATAACCCTCCTAAAATTGCTGTGAGCATCAAAGCTACAACAACTCCAACAATCAATCCATTAATAGAATTATTTGTAGTATCCATGGTATTTTTTTTTTTAAAGTTTATATTCTTGGTGAAAGGAACACACAATTCAAAGAAAGACTTTTATGTAGCTTGAGGGATCCTGGAAAACACATACATTAAACTACAGTTATTAGAAGAAAAATATACATTAAAATGAATAATATAACTTATACATAAATAATTTAACATTAAAATAAAAGTACAGTTCATGATACAGATTATAGAAAGAGAAATACATATGTAAAAATATACATTTAGCTTTAATTTAATTTATGTACTTAATTAATTATAATATATACGCTTTATTAGTAAATTGGATAATTTAAAATTAGTAAAATAACTAATTTTAAAGATATTCAGTAACTTTACAATGATGCAGTTACGAGTATGGAAGGAAATACACACAAATTATTTACCTTTATATACATTTTTAATTATAATTCATTAATAAATTAACTAATTTTAAGAATTTAAGCCAAATAAATTGCTGGAAAGATACTCTACAAGGCTAGCAAGTATTCCTGCTTGATATTTTGCATGTATAGCAGCGAGCTTCTTGCAAGTATAAAGAGAAAAACTACGTACAAGAACTAATATTTACTTTAAAATTAATTTATATTCTCTTAGTCATTAGCAAAATAACTGATTTTAAGAATTTTAGCGAGATAAATCATTAGAAAAGTGACTCCGCTGTTACTGCAGATTTGGAAAGATAAATGTACACAAAATATTCTTTCATTTATCTTTAAATTAATTTATATACTCCTTTAGTTATAATATATATAACTTATTGGTAGATTAATTAATTTCGAATCTAAATCAGAAAATTCACTAATTTAAAATTAGTAAACTAATTAATTTTATAGTGAAATAAACGAGTAATGAAAAGCATACAAAACTGACGGTACGAAGAGAAAAATATACAAAGGAGTATTTATGTATATGTTAATTACAATTAATTGTAATAAATACAATTTAGTAATTAATTAGTAATTAAATATTTTATTGAAACGAGTAATAAGACAAAAGACATTACAAAAGCTACTTACGAAGAGAAAATATACAAAAATAAATATTTACCTTATAATTAATTTATATCCTTTATTATTTATAATATATCAGCAAAGCAATTAATATAAAATCTAAAGAATTTTCGTTAAATTAATAAGTAAAAGGTTTAAGTACAATTGATAAACATATTTATTTAATTACTAATTAACCAAACTCGATGAATTTTCCATATGAGACATGTCACTACTTGTCTTTTTTTTTAATTTAAAACTATAAAAAAAACTGTTATAACAGTGAATTTTCATATTTTTTAAAAAAATAATTTACATCATGATTCAAGATTTTAACTTTTTAAATCAATAACCTATATAAAAGTTATATTATTAAATCGTTTATTCTACAATAGTGACCTTTTAAGTCACCTTTCGTAGCTTTATAACACGAAATAAACTAAAAGAACAAAAAATATATAAAGATTATTATCGATTTTACGAGTAATTTCTTCTAATTCAACCATAACTACTACCAGATTTTTTTCCCTTCAGATTTTTATTTATTGCATTAATTGCTTGTTGAGCAAAAAAACAAAACAAATTGCAATTTTCTTCGCTACACTTTCGCGGCTTTAATGGCTTATATTATTCATTATAAACTTAGTTAATTATAATTAATTAGCGCGAATTCATACAGTTACGTCTTAACACCGAGTATCGTGTATATAATAAACAGATGCTCCTGTTTAGTTTACTCGTAATGTACTAATAACCTTGTAATCAAGCGCCTGTCAATATTTTAATTGTAATTAACAAGACTTTGATTTACGTAATTAAAGTCGCATCGATTAAATTTACTTTACCGACCAAAATCGTAATTATTTTTTCGGTATTCTAGAAGCGTAACATAATGTAAATGAATGTCTTACCGGGTGTTCTTCCATTGATATGTTGTTGATTCTGCACTTCCACATACACACTGATGTGTAACACGACCTCTTTCCTCTTCGTCTGTAGTTGCTATGGTGACACGAGCCAGCTTGCGTGACGTCATCGGGTGAAGTACTGCACAATTGGAAGCGAGAGAGAGACCAGATGACCTCAGAGGTGCGTTGCAAAATTTTGTGTAACACACTTCGTAAATTAAAAATAAGAAAGGGGAAAAAAATTTACAAGAATCTGCAGCCTTTATTAATGTTATTTAAACCAGCGCGTGGATTTAAACGTGTTTTAATATTAATAAAATTTCGAGTTTTAATGAAGTTTTAAAATTAGTTTTTACGGTTTTTTAAACCACGCTTTTGTTTTCTAACTCGTCAGAAACTAGACTGAAAGTAATTATTTGAAACGTGACTCGTTAATTATAATTTACTAATTAATCATATTTTTAATTGTAATTTACTAACCGATCATATTCTTAATTGTAATTAACTATATTCCACGGAAATTAACAACGTTTCGATTGTAATTAACTACATTTAATTGAAATCAACAATTTTAATTGTAATTAACAATTTTAATTACAATTAACGTCATTTCGATTGTAATTAACAATTTCGGCCAGAGATTTCAAGTTAATCACAGAAATCTCTTCATATTCACGTAATTTATACTTTTATTACGTTTACATTTTTTTTTAAATAAATAAAACGTACGTAAACAGCTAATGAAAAATGGCGAAGATTTTTTAATGAAATTTGTAATATTTAATCTTGCAAAAAATTATCTTTAATATTATTATTATTCTTAATTAATGTTGACTTTAATTAATTCCGTGTAATTTAATTGCTTATATTACCAGTATCCATCCGCTTTTTTTAGATACTCCTCTCGAATTTAATATCCTTTTTATGAATAAAATATGACTTTCGAAAGCCTTCAGAAAGCAAAAATTTAATATTTTAGTAACTTATTTTTTACATGAAATTAATAAATATCTTTAACGTTTACACATTATCAGATACGTGATGCAGAATGTGTGTAATTGTTTTACAGTGTTTTACACGTTTAATTTTATACTTTAGTGCCCTGTGTGTGTGTTTTAAATGTAAAATATTGATGATTTTCCGATTTTATTTTATGAAAACATTATTTTTTCATCCCGTTTTCTATAATAAGAGTTCATTACAACGATTGTTTGACTTTACACGTTTCGTCACATTGCAGATAAAGAACTGTTTCTATAAGAAACGTGATGAGAATTTCGATTCGAAAAGGGATTTCTTTGGTCACATTTTGTGCTGACATTTCAGAATAATACAGTTCTTTACTTTATCATTTGCTTTGGAGTTTTTATTCGGGAAATTTTTTGCAGAAATCCTTTTATTTTCTCCAAGGAAACTTCATTACAAATGCACGAATTGCGAATATTTTCCGATTACGCCAATAAAAATTGCGTTTAATTTTAATTTATTTCTTAAATATGTTTAACAAAAATTAAGTATACGATAAATAGTTTTATTTTTTCTCTTTTGTATTTTCTAATGTTCGTTACATTGTTGAAATAAATTAAACGTCCACATCCTGATCTTCAATGTCACCACTGTAACCACTATCACCATCCGCAGTACACATATCTCCATCGTTTCTCCTCCTCTCTCCTTCATCACCGGCCACCGGCACCAGACAAACCGAGTGTGTTGCATCGTTTAGGTGTTTCCTGCGCTTGTACATGGCCCACCACCAGCATATGCACGTCAACCCCAACACTGTACCCACCACTGGCAAAACGTCTAATAAGACATCGGGGTGCACATACATATTTTAAAATGACATAGAAACATAAAATTTTATAGTTTTTCACTGACTTTTCTATAGTCTGATGAGTTTTCACTTGGAAATTTCACATGATTAGTAGATGATTTTAGCTCTTCTTCTTATCATAACATCTGAAATTAAACAAAATATAATATCTTTGCTTAGAAATTTATATATATAATTTAAAAAGTAAGAGAATTTAACGTTTTTTATCATTGTTTTCTGACCCGTTCTTAATGGTGACAATGTTTTCGTACCGAAAGATTCGTATTAATTACTAATATGGTTCGCGAACAACCGGTTGAGAAACTCTAATGTAAATTATTTTTTACAGTATCTTCTACCTTAAGGCATTAGACATAAATACAAACAGAGAAATTGTATTTTGCGCATCAATTATTCTTACTGAGTTGATAAATTAAGTTGAAAAATAGAAAATATAAGAAAATAACATAAATAATTCTGTAATTTCTCACTTCATTATTCACGTAGAAGCTTGTTGGAAAGAAGTTTAGCAAAATAAAATGGCGGAATACAGATGCTTTTCGAATGCAGAGAAGAGAGATGCGTCATGCTGAAATCTCTTATGTGTACACAATCATCAATATCACCCCCGAAGATAAATGATAAAAAGTATATATCGGGAAAAAATATATAAATACATCTTCCCTTTCGACGAAATTTACTTCATTACTAATGTTTAATATATTCAAAAAATATAGTTTTTATGGAAAATTTTCTATGGGATAATACATAAAATATCATAGAGATAAGCTGGCAATATAGAAAGTATGCCAAGACATATTTTGTTTTTTCACTGATTTTTAATTTATCTTACATAAAATCTGTGTTTTACGAGCATTGATATCCTTATATAGAATCTACATATCTTCCTGAAATTTTCCTGAATATTTCAGTCTTATGAAATGTTGATTTTCTTCACATAATTTTCATACAAATATCGTTTTTTGCGTAGAATCTTAGGATATTGCAAATCTTGCAAGTAAATCAGACATTTCTCTTTTATAGAAGGAGGAATTTTCTTAAGAAATACACAGTTCGAGTACAAAAATTTTAAAATATTTTCATACGAAATTGCGTTTAATTCTAATATATTTTTACACATAGATGATTCATGTTATATTAAGTGACCATTCCACTCATGATCTACATTATATCTAATCACATTTGTATACATGATCTTTGGTATATGAAGTCACATTTTCATACACAATCCACGTTACGTTATGTTATATTTTTACACGTAATTTATAAGAAATGAATTTCATATAATTTTCCTTTACATTTTCTTAAAACTGAAAGAAATTGCAGGAAATTTATTTATTATAAAGTGCATCGATTTACACTATTTTCACTATATTAAAACCTCGAGATACATTTAAAATAATATAAAACAAATATCATAGTAATAATAAATCAAAAAATAATAGATAAATATCGCTTTACTCTATTAATATTTTAAAAAAAGCTTTAAAAAGTAATTAAAATACCCTAAAATAATATTTTAGATGATGTATATGCTCACAACTTTTTACATGTTTACGTGTCAAATCCGAATGAATGAAAATTAAAAATTCGAAACTAAATAAATGTAATTGAAATAATAAAGTAATTTATATTAAATTGTTATTTACTTAATTAAATTTGTAGTATAAACATTAATAACAACAATTCTTAACAAGCTTATGGTAACTTATATTTTCGTCAGGGTCCTAGAGAGAGAGAGAGTATGAAAAAATTGGTGCAAATCTGTCAGAGGGATTTAGAAGTGTATAGAGGACAGACATATAAACATTCTGCTGTATAAGTATAAGATTAAATAATGTTCTACGTCTTCATTACTTGTTTACATTCTTCTCGTCACTGATATATCAAATGAATCCTAATAGATTTTCCTCGCCGCTAACTAACTATGGGAGGTGAATCTAAATTGATTTCGCCACAAAAATACTAAGCCAAATAGATTGTCCTCAGAAGAATAACTGGTAGATACAAATGGATTTTCCTCATCAACAGTATAAACAGTGAACTAGATGTATTCTTCTCATTAGTGGAATGCTTAGTGAACCAGATGGGTTCTCCTCGTTAGTACATGTACTAGATGGCTTCTTCTCGTCAATGGAATAATTAAAAATTTACTGAGGTACTTAATAATTATAGCTATCTTCTCCTGTCAATGAAATACTTAAAACAATCTGTTCTTTGATGGAATACTTCATAATTTCAAGTAAGTTCTTTTCAAAGGTAAAAACTTTCTAGTTAGGTTCTCCTCAACGATGAAATCCTTCAACTAGGTTCTCTTTAATAATGGAATCCTTCCAATTACTTTCATCCCAATATTAGCATCCTTACTAATCCCAGATAGATGATCATCAGCAATAGAATAATTAGTAATTCCATGTAGATTCTCCTCATCATTTGAATGCTTCATTTAAAATAAACATGTCATCCTCGTCTTTAGATTAGCCGATAAATCCAAATTGATTGCTCTTCACATCAGTAAAATACTTAATAAATACAAATAGTCCTCATATCACTAAAAATTTAATTTGTTAAATAAACTAGTCTATCTATTATTAGACTTATCTATTAAATATTCCACTGATGAGGAGCACCTATCCAGATTCATCAGATATTCCATGAATTCAGAATATATTCTCATCAGCTAAATAAATCCAGTTATATACCATTCATCCTTAAAGTACCGTAATTAGTAAATCAGCTAAATTCATCTCATCAATGAAATATTCAATAAATTTTGACAGATTAATCTCATTGCTAGAATACTTAATAACAAGAAAAATGCATGTAATAACGATTTAAATAAGGAAAAATTCCAGAAACGTGTGACAAATTCATAAATTATGCTTTATCAATTGGTTTCGTGATAAAAAAATAATTTAATTACAATTAAGAAAGGTAAATCAGCATTAAACTCATGCTAAATATATGAAAAATTAATAATTTTATTGATTTCTTTGAGAAATTAATGTTTACAGATAAAATTAATTTACATACGACCCAGTAAACTACGTGATTAAAGAGTTTGTGAAGCTTCCTTTTCATTGGAGACTTTTGATTTTTTTTTTGGAAGTAGACAAAAAACATGTTAATGCTCTCGAATAAAGTATATCAATTAAATCTGTGCATTTAATGGTTTTGCATTACTTAGATTAAATTTACCTCTTTTTGTAGTTAATATAAACATCTACAACGTTTTAACTAGTTAAATATAGCAAAAAAAAAGTCCCTTAAAGACAAGCTTTCTCTATTGTTAAGGTGATTTTTACAA